TGTGTATGTTCAGTGAATGTATATGGTATGTTCAGGGAATATACATACATATATGTAACGAAAGAAAAACGATACTTTATTTCATCTTATTAGTTTAATCACATGTTTAAGTATTTACTGATGTAATTTTTCAACAACAAGAGTTACTTACAACTAATCTAAAACGAATTAAATGGATAATAAATAAATTAAAATATAGCTTATAACTACGGACTAAAAATCTAAATTAACATTTTCAGCAATTTTGCGGTTGTCGCAATGATGTGTGACTGTGAGATAAAAACCAAACCTTTATCTAAAAAACTGCACTTATTATTTGATATTCCTTACATGTTCCCGCTCTGCGGCTTTTGCCCTTTCATTTTGTTCTCGATCAATTAAAGTGTTTTGCAATATGCTCTTAACAAAAATTCTATAAGCAATTACAAATTTTACTATTTGTCACAACAACAAAATACAGTTAATAGTTTTACATTGATAGACAATTCTATTGTGTAGAAATACAGTTAGGTATAGCAATTTGCATTGATACATTACTTTCATTTTACTTTTGTTGCTTTCCTTCGATCCAAGAAAACATGCTTATCGCAAAATAGAAATCAACCAAAATCAAACTGGCAAAAATAAAAAAATACAGATAATAGTTTTACATTAATAGAAGAATAATTAGGTTCCGACAACCTTACTTGTCTCTTATGCGAACATTTTTTGTGTGTGGTTTTCTCACTGGATCTGGAGATCTGGTGATCCCCAGCATCTTCGATGCTTCAAGTCCACAACAGCGGTATCACCTGTATGTTTAGAACAAGAAATAATAAAATAATCAAATGTATTTAATTTAAACACCTACATACCTTTACATGTTTGCGGGGTTTTAAGCCATAATTATACCGTAATTTCCGTCTTGAACACTGAGGCACAAGCACGGTTTTTATATTTTGACTTATATTTATTTTTCGTATCGATTAATATGGATTTTCAATATTCTCAACTTTTCGAAAAAGACGTAATGCACGTAACCAGAGATAAACGTAGATAAAGACAAGCAGCAGTTGTCTCCTGCTCCAATGTCAATCATGGAAAAGTGCTGAATTGTCACACCCCTGATATCACATCACTGATAAACCGATATTGACAAAATCTAAATTTTGTCTTGCTTAGAAAGACAGTATTCTAGTAACTAATAAATCTACAATCATATA